ACGAATCTCAATCGCAGAAGCGGGCTGGGCCCAAGCTGATTTCAAGTTGGGCCGAGGTTTGCATTTAGGTGGCTTATTAGAGGCGACTACTACTAGGACGAGTAAGGCACACCAGACAAGAGACGTAAGCTACTGTAACTTGCGCATGCGACCGTATCCCAAACAGATGTGACCAACCTCTCTCCGCGTCATGGCTCACATGGCGTGCTAGCTTCCCAGGCCCACGGTGAGCTAGTGACCCAAGAGTGTAGCATACTAGGTGCCTAGGTGCGTGCTAGCTGCCTAGGCATATGGCGTGCTAGTTGCCCGGGCCCGCGGCGAGCTAGCAGCCTAGGCGCGTGGCGAGCTAGAAGCCTACGCCCGCAGCGTGGTAGCAGCCTAGGCGCGTAGCGTGGTAGCTGTCAAGGCGCGTAGGAAGATAGCACGCTAGACGCCTGACACGTAAGCTGGCTAGGCGCGCAGCGAGGTACAGCGTTGACGCGTAGCATGCTAACAGCCTAGGGGCACGACGAACTCTTCTCACGGTGCGTAGGCGTAGTGTACTAGCTGTTAAAATTATCTAAGGTATAATCTATATAGGCTTGGTAGGTTTTTACTGAACCTTTCTGTAGAGGGTACAAACCCCTCCTTGTATGCCTCTCTCTTACTACTCCAACCCCCTTTTCTCTCGACACTTTTCTTCCCTCCTAGCTAAACCCCGCCGCCACTTTCATGGCGGCCTTCACTACCTCCTAGCCTAGTTCTACTAGCTTTTTAACACTAGCTGCCTTGGCACATGGCGAGCTAGCAGCATAGCCGCGTAGCGCGCTAGGCCAGAGAGAACTAGCTCCCACTCTCCCTTTCTTGCCACCACTCACTCCCGTTCTCCGTCTCACTCTCTCCTTCCGATTCGAAGTTCGCAAATTATATTGTATCCCTATGCAGCGAGGGATCCAAAAAAGAGTACGCGGGTACACGCTATAGGCAGGAATGTCGCGTCTTTGTCCCGCTCTCATCGTCTCCGTCCCTCTCTCGTCGTCTTCGCCTCTGTCTCATTGTCTTCGCCCCTCTCTCGTCGCCTTCATCCCTCTCTCTCATCTTTGCCCCTCTCTCGCCGTCTTCGTCGCTCTCGCATCGTCTTCGTCCCTCTCGCATCGTCTTCGTCCCTCTCGCATCGTTTTTGTCCCTCTCGCATCACCTTCGTCCCACTCTCACCTTCGTCGTCCCTCTCTCACCATCGACGCCCCTGTCGTCCATGTCTCTTCTTGACATCCCTCTTCTGCGTCGTCTCTCCCTCTCCCGCCTTGTCCCTCTCTCTTCCGTGTCGTCTCTCCCTCTCCTGCGTTGTCCCTCTCTCTCCCGCATCGTCCCTCTCTCTCCCGCGTCATCCCTCTCTCTCCCGCATCGTCCTTCTCTTCCGCGTCGGCCCTCCTTGTTCTACGTCCTCTCTCTCTTCTCTCTCTCTCTCTCTCTCTCTCTCTCTCTCTCTCTCTCTCTCTCTCTCTCTCTCTCTCTCCCCCCCCCCTCTCTCTCTCTCTCTCTCTCTTCCCTCTCTCTCTCTCTCTCTCTCTCTCTCTCTCTCTCTCTCTCTCTCTCTCTCTCTCTCTCTCTCTCTCTCTCTCTCTCTCTCTCTCTCTCTTTCTCTCTCTCTCCCTCTCTCTCTCTCTCTCTCTCTCTCTCTCTCTCTCTCTCTCTCTCTCTCTCTCTCCCTCTCTCTCTCTCTCTCTCTCTCTCTCTCTCTCTCTCTCTCTCTCTCTCTCTCTCTCTCTCTCTCTCTCTCTCTCTCTTTCTCTCTCTCTCTCCCTCTCTCTCTCTCTCTCTCTCTCTCTCTCTCTCTCTCTCTCTCTCTCTCTCTCTCTCTCTCTCTCTTGCTCTCTCTCTCTCTCTCTCTCTCTCTCTCTCTCTCTCTCTCTCTCTCTCTCTCTCTCTCTCTCTCTCTCTCTCTCTCTCTCTCTCTCTCTCTCTTCCTCATCGCCCCTCTCTCATCCTCTTCGTCCCTCTCTCTTTGTTGTCGTCACTCTTGTCGTGTCTCTCTCTTCGTCGGCATCCCCTCTTGCTCTCTCTGTCGCCACCACGCTCTCCCAGGGTATACGTTTATCGCTCCCTGTTCTCCCTAGGGATAACCCCTTTTTTGTGGGTAAATGCGTGAGGTCTTGGGCCCCTGCTGACTAACTCGATCAACGTGGGCTGTTGCACAAGACAATTTCCATCCTCTCGTGCGACATTGGGTTTGTGCGTGATCAGTATGAAACTGTCGCACAAGCAAACATGTACAGTAGCATTCATCACATCACCCAAATTTCGCTTCAATAAGTGCTCGCCAGAGTTGTGGCACGAATCCAACTGCCCGTAAAAAGACCCCCGTTTTTCTGAATAATTGAAGTCCTATTTTTAACTCAAGCTGGGCCCAACTTGAAAGTGGGTTTGCTATTTTAGTCTGGGGCTTTAATACCGCCTTAGCTGAAAAGCCAATCTTCCTTTCGTGTTGGGTAGAACTCAAACCTTCAAACCTAAACCCGCCCTCGTTAGTGCTTCAACGCACAACGGACAAAGTTTTCGCTGCCTAACCGATGTGCATCAGGGCGTGTACCCGAGGTTGTCACCTTATGGAATCCACGAATTTCCTCGCCGAGTATTTTCCCCCTCAGGGTGCCAAAGCAGCCACGAAAACCTCCCACAGATGTCTCACAAACAGGCTACAGTAGATGCTCGTCACACTTACTCCCTGTGATGTAAAGTCCGCTAGTCCGTGACACGATGCTGGAAGAGATGACACGAAGTGGCAAGGGAACACCCTTCGGTACCTGTGTGCAAGCCGTTACGCACTGCAGTGGTGTCTCCGTCATCTCCGGCGATCGCTTCGCTAGGAGTTGGCTGGCGACAGCAACCACAACAGCTGGTAGTGATAGCGACGTCGCGAACATCGCTATCCTCAGCGACATTGGTCCAGCTCTGTTCGTCTGCTCGTTCGCACGCGTTTTCTCTGCGGACAGTCTGCCATGCCGTGCGCGCGGGAAGAGCACCACCAACTCCCATCCCTCCGCTCAGGGCGTGTCCAGCGCGTACGTTTTTTGCCAAAACCCTACCTAACCATTTTAGATTTGTTATCAATCCTTCTGACCAGTGAGGCACCTTACCCTACCGCAATCAAACGTACGCGCTGGACACGCCCTCAGTAGCCTATGCGCGCGGAGTGTCGGAAGAGATGCTTCCGCCAAAGGTCAGTGGTTCCCGAGCTGAGTTTGGTGCCCTCTCCAACCTCTTCACCCATCACCACCGCATTCGTTCACACAGGGGTCGAGCTTCGCATTTCCAGCACCATATCCCGCCTCTGTTATGCACCAGCCCAAGCCAGATGCGTCATCAGTGTTGTTGAAGCATACTAGGTGACATTGCTCAACTAGTGCGGTTTTTTAGTAGGGCACAACGACGATTCGCGGGGTAAGTAGACGCTAGGATGTCGTGCAGGCTAGAGCATCACGTGCACGCGCCGTGACGAATGCTGGTGAATGGTTGTGCCCTACCCCACTCATCACGTGTTTGGAGAAATCCTGGCCGTCGTTCCGTTCGGGGCTTCTCCCCGTCTGATCTCCATGTGCTTACGAAGTGTCACCTCACACCTCGCCTCTCCTCTCTTGCACCTTACCCACGCCACCCCTTCTCCTGCCCCCTCCGCTGTTCCACTTGTCCTCGAACCCCTTACTACGACTCGTGCCTTTACGGCAATCTCAAGGCCATGCGAGTCTCTTTGTTAGTGTCACATCGGTGCGCGCAGCTCCAGCCAGGTCGTCCGTTGCAAGCACCCGTCTGCCCCTTGCCGCCTCGACTAACACCGTCCGTAGCGCCCGCTATCGCGTGAGGAGGGTCCGGCGGGCATCGCGCATGAGGAAAGCGCGCGCGGGCGTGGCGGTGGACGTGCCCCCATCGCTCGCTGCCCTGGCGGCGCCCGACTGTCCCCAGCCTGATCAAGCGCCGCTGTTTCCCGTGGCTTCCCCCGCCGTGCATGGCTTGTCGGCGGACACCGAGCCCGTACACGGCGCTCGGCCCGACGGGCCCCGGGCGGCCCACGGCCTGAACGGGCTTGTGGGCGCGGAGGATAGGCGCATGGGGAAAGACGCAGGTGGGATGGGGTTCCGGGGGTCGGAGGAGGAAGAGGGCGGTGCAGGCGACGAGGATGCGCGGCGAGAAGCCGTGGATCCGCCTCCGGCTCTTTCCAGTAGGTCGCCCGGCAGCGGGCGGTCTATGCGGCATCTGGGTTCCAGCAGGAGTGCGGCTATGTCCAGAGGGGCCAGCATGGCGGAAGGCGACGACGACGACGGCGACGACGGCGACGACGGCGATGACGACGGGCTACTGAGTGTGAGGAGAGGGGGGGCGACGCCTCGGCTGTCGCTGTGGGAGGACGACGACTCGCGCCTGGATACCAGTCGATCGGATGCCACAGGTAGCAGCAGCGGCCGCTCCAGTGGCGGCGCAGTGTCGGGCGGCAGGCCTGCGCCCAGGAAGCACACGGGGGTGGGCCCGGCGCTGCAGCAGCGGGTGCTGCCGCCGTCGATGAGCATGAGCCGCGCGCGCATGCGGCTGGCGGGCATGAAGCTGGACCTGGGCGTGCTGCCCATGGGGCCCGCTGGCGTGCTGCTGCCCGACCAGCCCGCCGCGCTCCACCTCTCCGCGCACGGTGCGGACGGGTTCTCGGGGATGGGGGATGGGGCAGGGTTTGGCGGAGAGGGTGCGGGGGGCGAGGAAGAGGAGGAGGAGGGGGAGGGGGAGGGGTCGGAGGCGATGGAGGTGCGGGATCGGAAGGAGAAGTTCGTGTTCTTCGAGCGCCAGTGCAGCCGCGTCATGCTGCACCTATACGTGGGCAGTGACGCCGTGGCGCGCGACCGAGACATTCTGCGGCAGGCGGGCATCACGCACGTGGTGAACTGCGTGGGGTTCGTGTGCCCCGAGTACTTCCCGCGCGACATCACCTACAAGACGCTCTGGCTGCAGGTAAGTGAAACCTCTGCCTGCACCGTCGCACCCGTTTGCCCCTGTGTCGCGTGGCCTGACATGTCGGCGCTGCTGCTGGCGTGGGTTGTGGTGCGCGCAGGACAACACGTCGGAGGACATTCAGTGCGTGCTGTACGACGTCTTCGACTTCGTCAACGAGGTCAATCGCGTCAACGGCCGCTGCTTCGTGCACTGCTGCCAGGGCGTCTCGCGCTCCACCTCGCTCGTCATCGCCTACCTCATGTGGGCACAGGTCCGCGCGCCCTGCCTTCCCAATGCTTCCCCGCGCTCCGCTCTACACCTTTCCGCCTCATGGTTTGGCTACTAGGCTATTTCGCCTCCGCCTATACTTGTATGCATCCCCCCCCCTCTCCCCCCCCCCCCCCACCAGCAAGTGGAGTTCGAGGCGGCGTTCCGCACGGTGAAGGCGATCCGCGGCGTGGCGAGTCCCAACATGGGCTTCGCGTGCCAGCTGCTGCAGTGGCAGAAGCGTGTGCTCTCGCCGCCCTCCCCCACGCCCGCGCTGCCGCCTGCTGCAGCCCCACCCGCCCTCGCTGCTGCTGCTGCTGCTGATGGTGGTGGGATTGGTGGCGCAGATAGCAGTGGGTGCAATGGCGAGGCGGCGGGGCGGGGAGCGCGGCAGATGGAGAGTGTGCGCATGTACCGCATGGCGCCGCACTCACCGTACGACCCGCTGCACCTGGTGCCCAAGATGCTCAACGACGTGTCCGTCGCCGCGCTCGACCCCAGAGGCGCCTTCATCGTGCAGGTCCAACCCCCTCCACGCCTCGCCGTTGCAACCTCTTCTACCGTGTCTAACCGTCCGCCCCTCCCCTCCTGCTTTTCCCCCCGCTCTCCCCCTTCCCTGCGCTCTTCCCCTCCCCATGCGCTCTTCCCCTTCCCATGCGCTCTCCCCTCCGCATGCGCTCTCCCCTCCCCATGCGCTCTCCCCCTCCCCATGCGCTCTCCCCCTCCCCATGCGCTCTCCCCCTCCCCATGCGCTCTCCGCCTCCCCATGCGCTCTCCCCCTCCCCATGCGCTATCCCCCTCCCCATGCGCTCTTCCCCAGCCGTGTCAGCCATTCCGTTCGTCTCGCCGTCACTGCATGCTTGCCGCTCAGGTTTCTCCTCCCCGCAACCCGCTCTCTGCTCCCAGGTCGGCGCGTCGCTCTACGTGTGGTATGGCGCGGCGTGTCGCCCCGCCATGCAGCAGCAGGCGGAGCGTGCGGCGGACCAGATAGCGCGCTACGAGCGCCTGCCAGCGCCGCCGTCGCACATCCAGCAGGGGCACGAGCCGCATGGCTTCAAGGCGGCGCTGAGCTCGCAGCGGCTGGTGCGCGGCGGCAGCGGCGAGTGGGGCGTGTGCCTGAGCGTGCTGGAGCGCGAGGGCCTCACGTACCTCGGGCAGGATGCGCACCACGTGCCCGCCCACGCCGACCTCAGGCCCGGCGCCGCCGCCATGCTGCCCGCGCTGGCTGGGGGGGCGAGGGGTGCGAGCGGGGTGTCAGGTAAAGGAGGGGGGAAAGACAGAAGAGTGGAGAGTAAGAGTGGAGATCGCGAAGTTGATGGTGGGAGTGAGAATGGGAGCAGGCGGGCTGAATGGGTTGTGGAGGAGAGGGAGGAGTATTCATTTGACTTTGAGTGTTTCAGCAAGGGGTTAGATGGAGGCACGCCAGTGGGAGCAGGGGCTGTGTCGCCTCCCACCAAGGTGTTGCCATATAAGTACAGGGGCTGGCTCGAGGCGTCACTGCCGCTCAACCCTGCGTACGCCCTGCCCTGGGAAGCTTCTCACGCCACCCTGCCCGCCCCCCAGGCGGCCTCCCCGGCAGCGGGGGCAGCAGCGGGCAGCGGCGTGGGGTCTGCCGTGGCGTCCACCAGCTCCGCCCTGGCGCGACTCACCGTGCACGATGGGGATGCTGACGCAGGGAGCACGGCAGAGGAAAGGCAGGACGAGGCGAGGGGAGGTGAGGAGGGGCGTGTGTCTCGCAAGCCAGTGTTCGCCCCGCTGCCACTGCATGCGCACACCTCCCTGCCGTCCCCCTCGTCCTTCTCTCCTCGCTCCCTGGGCTTCTTTCCGCCCTCTGGCAGTGGTGCCTATGGCTCTGCTCTGAGCAAGTTCTCCAAGCCCTCACCTCCGCGCGACTCACACCGGCTCAAGGACCAGTCAGGTGGGTCAAGGGCAGCAGGAGAGGGGGGCGCAGGCGGTGGCAGTGGCAGTGGCAGGGGCAGTGGGCGTGGCGGTGCGTTGAGGGTGGTTGGAGGGCTTCATGCATCTGGGCTAGGCAGCAATGGCGGCGGCACGAGGAGGGGCCTTCCCCCACTGACTCCTCGCAACACAGGTGGAATAAGGGGGCAGCAGTCGCAGGGGTGGGGTGAGAGTGATCATGGAGGGGCGGAGGAGGATGAGGGAGCCAAGGAGGGGGCGGTGATGGCAGTGGATGGACACTTGGGAATGACAGAGGATAGTGCTCAGGTGCCACGAGGGCCGGAGCAGCAAGGGGAGGGCGGGGGCAGTGACGTGGACGCTGGGGTTGGGCTGTGGATGCCGTCCCCTAGACAAGGCAAACCGAACCTCAGAGCTGCTTGGGAGGAGGGGGGGAAGGACGAGGCAGAGGAGGAGGCGGAGGGAGGGAACGCGTATGAGGTGGGCGTGATGCAGGGCAAGGGAGGAGAGGGGGTCGGAACAGTGCTGGCAGGGCTGCCTCAAAGGAGGGGGAGGGCAGCGCGTGGCAGTCAGAGCACAGGCAGTGAAGCCGGTGCCATGGAGGCACGAGGAAAGGCCCCCAAGCCGCCTGCCAGACGCACTCCGCCTCTTGCTGCAGCATCTACTGCCAGCAGCAGCAGCAGCAGCAGCAGCAGCAGCACTGCCACTCCCAATCTCAACGCCGCTCTGCCCCCTGCCCCTCGTTCCAGCTCGCATCTCATCGGGCGCCGCGAGGTGGGGAGTGGTGGAGAGAGTTGGGGCGAGTGGGGGGAAGGGGGGGTGGACGAGGCAGAAAGCAGTGGAATGGATGCATTTGGCGTGCCTCTCACTCCAAGACGCCGACTGCCGCCCAGATCAGCATTTGGAAGAGGGTTTAGGGGGACATGGGAGGAGGGAGCAGGGGAGAGGAGGGTGGATAATGGGGAGTCAGCTGAAGATGGGGGCGTGCGGTCAAAGAGGAAAGGGGTTGCGAGAAAGGAGAAGGACTGGGGGGAGAATGATGATGGCGGGGGTGTTCATCCAATTCCAGAGTACGGGGGAGAGGATGGTATGGGAGGGGAGGCAATGGATGCGATGCAAGTAGAGGACGCCATGGGCGCTGGTATGGCACTTCCCACTCCTCGACGCTTGGGGCCACAAATTAAGAAGATCTTCTAGGGGGTGCAGAAAGAATATGAATGCATGGACGCACATGAATGGAGTGCAAAGCAACGTAAATCTTTAAAGGAACCCGCATGTGTCTTTTCCCCCGAGTCAAAGCTTGGTTGATGCACATTGTACATCTTATGGCCACACTTGACCGTGCGGCCTCACAATCTGCTGGCCCGCTACTTCATGCTACTTCTTGCTTGCACCCTTTTTATTGCATTTTACTTCTTCGCTTAGTTTGTTTGAGTTTATACGCCTACACCTGATGCTAGAACAAGGAATTTATACAGCGCATAAACCAAACTGTGCGGGATCTGGAGACCTCACGGACCTTTCCCCAGCCTGGAGGCAGCATGTTGGGACACGCGGCAAAATGAACGGCGAGAGGTGGTCCCGAGTTCGTGGGACACGTTGAGGGGAGGGAAAAGGCGAGACCTGCATCGGTTGGGGTGTTGCGATCAGATCAGAGCAGCGAGGAGCAGCAGCAGGGCACGGACAGGAGGCGGTGACTAGAAGCTCCAACGGTTCCGTCCTTCCCAGGGACAGTTGTTGGGCGTTGACGTTGAGAGTGCGCTACCGCTCCTGCAATTCGGGGCTCAACTTGCGGCGCCACGGCACGGGGAGCTTCGTGTAGCCCAAGGCAGGTGCGGACGTTGGTGACATGACTGCGGGATCGATGGTGAATGCGGGTCAGAGCCAGGGCTCGGGAGCGGCTGTGGAATGCAGGGATCGGCTGTCGGTGGAGGGGCAGGGGGCTGAGCTGGATCCGTCCACTGGTGGCGCGGGAGGCAGCGGCAAGTGCGCCGAGGAGTGCGGCGGGGGGGTTGAAGGGCAGGCGGATGACGAGGGCGGTGACGTGGGCAAGGGCTGTGCGGCGCTGCACGGCAACGGACCTGATCCGCCACGCCACCACGCGCAACGCACCGCGCCACAAGAGCACCGCGACCACGACGAGGGCCCGCAGCAGCGGCGCGGGGGACCGGTTGCACCGCCGCAGGCGGAGCGGCAGGGCTTGTCGGATGCGCATGTGCACGAGGCCCGCGGTTCGTGCGCGCACTTGTGCTCGTGGGCGTCCCGGTCCGAGGAGCACGGCGCTGACGTCACCGTGTGGCACATCGCCTGCTGCCACGCGCCCCCGCACCCCGCCCACTCACCTCCCCCGTTACCCTCGCGTCGTGACTGTATGGGGCCACAGCAGGCAAGCGGCGGCGACGCGGGTGCTGGAATTGGCGAAAGGCACGGCGCCTCAGCCGTCGCGCAGGTCAGTGGCGACGCGCGGCCCTGCTCGTCCCGCTGGGAATAGGCGTCTCACCTTTTTTATTGATTTCGCCCCACCCATCATACTCTTTCACCCTCCCTTCCCGTCGCCATCGATTATCTCGTATCTCTCTCTCCCCCTCCCGCTTGCACATGCACCCACGGACGTGCATGTACACGCACGTACGTACACACACAAACACGCACACTCACACGTATACGTGAACGCACTCGCACCCACGCACACATGCACTCGGTGCACACACGCTGAACCGCACTTACCCGCGCCTTCGCTTGCTTCGTACGCGTGCGAATGCTCCTCCTCCTCGCGCCTGCAGCCCTGCTGCTCGTGCGCCCACCACCACCTGCAAGCTGCGGGGCACGCGGGGCAACGGGAGGGCGGCGAGGGGCAGACGGCGAGCGGCATGGCGAGGCGGGTGGGGGTGCGGTCGGGAAGCTGCGCGCACGACGGGTTCCGCGGGCACATGGAGGACGTGCCCGTCGCCATTGACGACCTGCACGCCTGGTGCCGCGCGCCCACCCCGCTCCTCGCTCCACCCTCCTCCTCCGCCCCCCCCACCGTCACCACCACCACCTCCTCTTTTTCCTCCTCCTCCTCCTCCTCCTCCTCCTCCTCCTCCTCCTCCTCCTCCTCCTCCTCCTCCTCCTCCTCCTCCTCCTCCTCCTCCTCCTCCTCCTCCTCCTCCTCCTCCTCCTCTTCCTCCTCCTCTTCCTCCTCCTCCTCCTCCTCTTCCTCCTCCTCCTCCTCCTCCTCTTCCTCCTCCTCCTCCTCCTCCTCCTCCTCCTCCTCCTCCTCCTCCTCCTCCTCCTCCTCCTCCTCCTCCTCCTCCTCCTCCTCCTCCTCCTCCTCCTCCTCCTCCTCCTCCTCCTCCTCCTCCTCCTCCTCCTCCTCCTCCTTCTCCCCGCTCCCCCTCCCCTTCCTCCCAGCATCTTCCTCCTTGCTGTTGTCTGAGTTACCCCAGCAGCCATTGCCATCGGCTCGTTATGCGTTCTACGGGGTATGCCCACTCCGTCCATGCGCGTGCACCATTACCTCGTCCCTCGCCCCCGTCCCGTCGTGCTCTTCATATCCGGTCCCTTCTCAATCGCCTCTTCCCGCCCCCACCCCTTCCCCTTTCTCTCCACCCCATTTTCCTCCCTCTCGCCCTCCCTCCCTCGTATTCCCTCATTCCCTCTCTCTCGTCCCCTCCTCCCCCTCCCCCTTTCTCTCTTCCTCCATTCGCTCTGTCCCATCTTCACTCCCTCATTCCTTCTCTGACCATCGTAGTTGCCGCCTCCCATGCTCCATCCTCCTTTACTCCACTAACTTCCCCCTTCCTCCCTTTCTTTCCTGTCTCTCCTCTCTCCCCCCATTCATCTTGCAGGTGTTTGACGGCCATGAGGGCTCGGTAGAGGCAGCGGAGTTCGCAGCGGGGGCAATAGTGCGCCATCTGCTGGCGGACTGCGCCTTCACCTCGCACCTGCCGTGCGCACTGCACCATGCCTTCCTCGCCACGGACCACCAACTCGCCTCTGCATGGTCCGCAGGCCATGCGGCTAACTCAGGCACCACTGCCCTCACAGCTGTGCTCACTGACAGGTAACCCCAGCTCTCTCTTCCTCCCCTCTATTTCCCCTCTCCCCCCTCACCCTCACTCTTCCTCTTACTCTCACTCTTACAGTGGCGAAGGATCAGCTCGAATTCTTGTTCTTTTTCGGTCTTTCACAGAGGCCCAGCAAGTATAATTGGCCGAGGCATATGTAGGCATCTTAGCGCTAGGACCTAGGGTGTGTATGTGTATGCATGTCGGTGTGCACAGCCTTACGCATTTTAGAGGGTGCATTCACTGCCTCTTTTCCTTTCCCCACATGGCAGGTCGTTGGTGGTGGCGAATGCGGGTGACTGCCGGGCGGTGCTGTGTCGCAGGGGGCGCAGCATCCTGCTCTCACGCGACCACAGGGCGTCCCACTGCCCCTCTGAGCGCCAGCGCGTGGAGGCAGCGGGCGGCACAGTGGTGGACGGCTATCTGAACGGCTACCTCATGGTGACACGCGCGCTGGGCAACTGGCACCTCAAGGTCAGACACACTCGCCCTCGTCCACCCACTGCACAGCGTGCCTTGTCATGCTGTGTGTCGACGGGGGATTATGAGGGTCAGTGAGTGGGGGAGAGGGGGTAGCCGGGATTGAAGGAATGGAAAGATATAGGAGGAGTTGGGGAAAGGGGGGAAGGGGGGGAAGGGGATGTGTTTTGGTGCATCATCTCTTATCACCTGCAATGTTCTCTCCTCTCTGACTACCTCCCGTGTTCCTTTGTGGCAGGACCTCAAGTCCTTCGACGGTTCGCCAGGTTCGCCCTTTGCTTCACTCGTACCAGGTCAGCTCTCCACTGCTGCTCACCGCGAATCACTGGTAGCTGATTCACAGCTGGAGCTGCAGGAGACACAGCAGCAGGAGCCCCCCCTAGCCACCAGGGAAGTGGCAGGAGCGAACAAGCAGATGCCAGATGGACACGCGAAGCAGCACACACCCAATGTTCCTTCCAGTGGGGATGAGCTCCAGAGTGGAGAGGTGGGGGCTGTGGTCGGTTCTCGCTTGCAGGGCCACAGGCAGCATTGGAGCAGGCTCTACCAGTCGCTGGGCTGGCCGTATCACTCCCACCATCACACCTACCACCGCTCCCACTTCTCTTGCTTGCGCTGGGAGCAGAAGCAGCAGAGGCATGTGTGTTCTGGGTCGAGCAGAGGGCCTCTGATTGCCAGCCCAGAGGTGTGGGAGATAGCGCTGACGGAGGAGGATGAGTTTCTGCTGCTGGGCAGCGATGGGCTGTGGGACGTGTTCCGCAGTGAGAACGCGGTGGAGTATGCGCGCAGGCAGCTGAGGGTGCACAACGACCCGCAGAAGTGCGCAGAGGAGCTGGT